AGAAAAAAATACGTAGACTCTGCAAAGTGTAAGGTTTACAAGGACAAAATAGGGTTTTGGATGAGATTTCAGTCATGTGCGATGTGTGTGTTTGGACTGTTATGAGACCGAATGAGAAGTATTTGCCCATGACTCCGCCCAATTCTGGCGCATGCCCCACCCGTTGGGAGTGGAACCTCGCTAGGATCACATGTGTCTGTTACACTTACCCAATGCTCAACTCATTCCAAACTTGATCCGACTTCTCCAGGTGTTTCTTCAGATTATATCGAATTTCCGTACAAGCAAACAGATAGACAGACAGAAAAAGCGCTTTATGTATGGTAAGGACTCTTGTTACCGCCCACCTAAGTGCAAACCCCGCCCACTTTGAGTGTTTGGCCACATTTCCTCTATAGGCTCCGACCACTCTTTCCCCGCGTCCTAGAACGTTTTTGAACAGAGTTATGAATTTTTGATTTTAGTCCCTCCCACCTAGGTTCAAACCATGCCCACTCTAGAGTTTTGACCACATTATCATTACGACTACTATTCATTATTGAAAGCCCGTACATGTTGACTGTGTTTCCTTGCTGGGTTGCTGGGGAAGAAGTTCTGATACAATAGCAGCAGTATGACTTACGTTGGTATAGAGAGGTTCCATATCAAAGGATTCAGTGACACGTGTTGCGTTCAAATGCACATTACGAAATTAACTCAAAACAAGGTTTATTGGCTTACATTAACACAACTGGTTCCCTATATACCATCGCACTTTATGGACACGCTTATGAGGGTAGGATAAGGATTTCCTTTTTTACAGTTGAACAGGGTCGCCTCGCAATCGGTGAGAACTTGCTGTGGTAAGGCCAATAGTTGGCCGTGCCCAAAAACGTGGGCTGAAGGCTTGGACAAATTACTTGACGCAGATTCAGATTGTATGGGCGGTTCTGTGTGCTGACTGAAGCACAAGCTTTGCAGTGGCAAGGTTGCTGGGAATGACCAGGGCAAACGACCGTCTGCCGCTAGTGCAAGCTCTACAAGGTCGTTAAAACTTCGCCGCTTAGGGAGCGGAACTAATCCCCGATTTGGCACGTTCGCTTTGTCGCATGCTGTAAATCCTTTGTAGTTGCCTCGCGACTTAAAACTGCAGTTGCAGTATTCAGTCCGCCTCCCTGCCATTAGATAGGACACCAATTCTTTTTTGTTGACCACCTTGCTTTTCTACTGATCATTTGAACCTAAACGGTAACTAGTGGCATGGGTAACAAATATGCAGTAGCTTGCTCTTTCTCTTATTATGAACGATCGATACCGCATGGGTAAACTAGGAACGGTAATTAATGAAAAGGATCTCTGACTCACAGATTGCTCGCTCCAACCCCAGAAACGATTTTTAACGGGATTGTGACATTAGAGGCACAGTTTACGATAATTTCGGGAAATCCAATTTCGGATTTAGACGAATACTGGAAGCGATATTCCGGACCAGTGCCAAAGTAGCGAAGAAAACGCGAACATCGCCGTTTCTACAGGAATGCAAGGCTCAGAAAAAAGGGTAAAATTAGGGGTTGGACAAGAATATGACGAAAAGTAGCATGGAAGGTCTATTGGGATCAGTCCAAATGTGTGCCATTGAGTACAGCTGTATACAGTGCCCAATGTGAATTATGCAACATGTACGGCCTCTGCAATGTCGTAAAAACTCGGCTGCCTTGAGTGTGTACGTCGGCTAGGCTTTCTTATGCCCTATCTACACCGTTTTTTGACTGGGCAGCGTGCATTGTACTTTCCTTGGGTCACGGTTTATCCTCTCTATTCTATAAACCCTTTCATCGTGAAGTTGACCTATAATAGTATCGCTTATATCACAATTAACCTTGCGCGGTACCCAAGAATTTCGTCAGGTTAGTTTTCTTGCAGGTTTCATATTGTGTACCTTGTTCGAATCGTGTGCACTACAATGCAGGTGAGCAGGATCACGCCATCCGTTTGTTCTACCCAAGCGGTCGACCTGTTAAGAAAGCTGCTGTTCACCGTATGGTCAGTCATGGCTTATACTTTGATAATCTGAAATATATTCATTACGACATTTAATGGGTGTTAAAGTGGGGCTCCGGAAGAGTTCCACCAAATGTTAGTAAATTGCACGCATGAATGTAAGTTTTGCTTCTAGAAATGGATAATGATCAGATTCTTTGCTAAGTTGCTTCGACACTCGATTCTTTTCACAGAAGGAGTCAACCTAAAACCTTAAGCTAGTAATTCAAATAATGGTCTAAAAGTTTTGTTCTAAAATTTCCAAAGGCTGTGCCCTCAACAAAATGATTATTGAAAAGTAAAACTCAAAGTAAAACTTGAGGCATTCCGCACTGTATGACTTGAACAAGGGCCTCTCATGAGGGGAGTGTTACTTAGTCATCCGAGACCAATGTAAAATCACTTGGTATCTAATCACTACGTTAAAATTGAAGAATTAATCGAAATTCGACAGCAGTTGAAGTAAAGTGATGAGCGAGAATTTCCCGATAGTCTTTTTAGGAATTATTGTTCAGAAAATGCATACCAAATCAATCTGTCAATTTTTGTAATAAGCAAATCAATCTGTCAATTTTGTAATAAGATCTCTCTTGAAGTGTTTACTGTGCTTTCTTTGTCTAATATGTCAAATTTCCGCTCTTTCTTCCTCAGCATTCCTGAGTTTCGGTAGTGAATCCCTTATTGATTGTCAAGCTAGCACCTAATTAGGGCCTAACGTACTTCAAGCGCATCTCTTCAACGAAAAAGCCAACATAAAATGGACACTAAAGTGACGGGTAGTGGTTATGCGCCACACACTGATATGAGCCGCATACTGTGCAATAATGTCTAATATTTTATTGTCTAATATTTGTGTCTATCTAATGCTGTTTAATATTTAATATTCAGGTCTTGTCGGCAGTGTTGTGCATTGAAACGTCGCATTACGTCGCATTCGTACGGTCGCTCTCAGGGCGTTGGTTATTCTTCGACTCCATGGCTGATCGAGAAGGTCTAAGTGACGGGTTCAACGTGCCTCAGGTATGCTATATCACTTGAGTTTCGATCTCTACTCCATAGAGCATTTTTTTAGTGGCAAGAAGTAGTGCTAGTTCTCTGATTCAGCCATGATTCATTGCCTTAGCGTAACGTTTTATCAAGCATAGAATCACAATGCACAGGAATTGGAATGCCTTTATCCTCCAAAAATTACAATCAAATTGCATGAAAGTCTGTCAAGAAATACTCACTATGGGAAACTTTCATCCTTATCCTTCACTTTCCTTATTCCTGTCGTATTCTGCATCGTTACCCTTCTGTACCTCGTGTTCATTTGCTTCGTTTGCTCTGAATCGATAACTACCACCGTTCACAGTGAAGCTGGAGTCGAAAAGGCAACTTACCGTTTTTTTCTGTCCGGACAACGCTTACGATGCTTTGTGCAGTGATGATGGCGCAAGTGATGTCCACATCGAGTGGGTCTAGGACATTTTTTCTCATACTTGCGCTCAGAACTACATGGACGTTTTCGATCGCGAGAGCGAGATCGACGCCGTATTGATCTAAAAAAATGTTCTGGTTTTTGACCGAGTCAAGTCATCTAATTTTGAATTACCGGTCATCTTCTCGATCTCGGCTGCGTGTATCTAACCGTCCGTCACCGAATAGCATAGCACGTTTTCGTTCTGCAAACTTTTCATCGATCTCTTTCTAAAAGAAATACTGCAATGATAACCGGGAAGTAACAAATAGTAGTATAGGTAACGAACCTGAATAGGTACTGGAATGCGAGGAAACAATGTGCCGTACCAGTCCAGCTTGGTAAGCATTATGCGAACAACTTGTCCGAATGTCATAACGTCACCACCTCCTGACCTCGGATCAATTTCTTCCTCGTCATCCTAATGTCGAGTGGCATCATTTGGATCATTTTCAACCACTGATATTCAATGAAGGAACTCAACCCACCAAATATGGCTCAAACCACTCCCATAAATCTGCTGGTGGCTGAGTGTAACGAATATACATAAATCCTAACCCGCGAATATAAGGAGAAACCCGGCTGTTGATCATGGATATTAACTGTTTCCTGAAAGGACGTCCCGCTTCATAATGCTGTAAGCAGTACCACTACTCACACTCACCTGGTAAGGCGAACTTTGAAAAACCTATAAAGGAGACAGAACGCCGAACTGACCACTCCTCCAGCACCGACTCCTCGCACCTAAAAACTATATCACAGAGTAATATGGGAGACTTTCACTTAGCAAGACGCACACCGCCACACATGCCAGTCATTCCCTGTACTTTGCGGGTTCCTTTTTCCCATGGCTCCAGATGTTTCACCTTAACTATTTATTATCAGCTAAGAAAGCAAAAGCAAGTTCATAGAAATACCTTGTAGAAAACCTCGTCAAGAAGTTGTTGAGCCGTGTCGATCTCCACAAGGTGATTTTTGTAGTAGTAACTCTCCTTGACGTTCTCCAATACAAGACCATTGAGATTCATCGTCTGCTGATTACCCCAACATGGCAAGGTATTGCTTTTTCTGTTGCTCTGGGAATGAAAGTGTTATGATTACACGTAAATAGATATACATTCCAAAAAAGAGGTGTCAAGAATTACCTGAATGGTTGGGATCTCGAGGTGGTGCTCATCATCAATGAAATCGGCTATCGTAAGTGGTGCCGAGATTGGCTTCACTGTTGTTGTTTGTTGTTGCTGCTGGTCTAACTGCGGCTCTTGTGGTTGTTGTTGCTGTTGTTGCTGAGGCTGCTGTAACTGCTCCACTTGCCGGAACTGTTGATCCATATTTTCTGATTAAAAAGTTTGGTCAAAACATATAAGCTCAGTGAACTGATGCTTCCATACGAGTTGTTAAAGCAAATAAGAATTATGTATTAGAGAGAAGTGCAAGGGTACACCGAGACATAATTACACACGAGGTGAAAATAAAGGAACAAAATAGTCATCTTGAAATGTGATTGAATGAGGAGACGATAATGCTGAAAAATTTTTGGGTTCTGAGAATCAGTAATCTCACAAAAATCTCTAGAAGATGGAACAGTATGGCAAATTTGCCGAAGTATCGGTTCATGCATAATTTCATTGCTTCACCACTACACCACTGACTGGCTGAGTAGGAATACCACTTGAAACAACTATATCCACACCTATCCTTATTGTAAGAAATTTTAATTATCTCAAGGTGAAAGACTGCGAACGGATGTCATGGTGGCTGACTCAAGCAGGGTGGGAACGGTTGCGTGATGCCGAAGAAGCGGGCACAATGAAGGTGCGATTAGAAATTGTTAACCAATGCTACAAAAGATGTCATTTCTTTATTTAGGCAATGTTGGGAAAAGGAAGTGATGTTGATCCGTTAATAACTCGATTACTGAGCGACTCATACATCTGCTTCTACCACGAAGACTCTTCGAGCCATGGATCAAACTCATCTTCGAATCTTTTGAATAACATGATACAGAAGGTCGTCAAACCTCTTACATAAAAGTCAAGACGCTGTGTAGTTAAGCAGCTTCCAGCTTCATTTATACATATATCCCATTTCTGTTCCGTCCTGGGTACAAATCGCTATCAGAAGAGCATATTATTTTTATTGCATGGCTAGTGATTAACCTACAAAACGCATATTGTGTCATTCTGTTAGCTATCATATGATATGTTCCAATAATCGTTTCGCTTGAATGTGAAGCGCAATGTGAGAAGTAAGCAAGAATGATCACCATGCTTTTCATGGTTGTTCAGTGAGCACTGTTGTTATATATTCAGATAATTTACTTCATTCATTTACCTAGAGTATATTTATGTATAAATCTACGCGGTTCTTTTTTTTATTGTGAAAGCGTTAGAAATACAGGTGTTGCTTTCCTTTGCTGAACTAGTGCGATGCATTTAGACTTGTAGCTTTTCTATCATATGCCGATATATATTAAGTGAAATCCTAGCTACTCATAAGTTTTTGTCAATGGCGGTCTTCTGTTTGCCACTGATCACGGGATATTTCATCGCATATGCAGTAAATAAAGTGAAGCATACTTATAAGCTGTATCTTGATTGAAAAAATGCAATGTTTCAGAGTCACGTGAAAATAAGGATCAATCATAAGAGAACTAGTCGGATCGAGCGGCTGACGCCGAGCTTCCCCTCCTTCCTAAGATAGAGTTGTGATAATAGACAAACCGATCGCTCTTACTTTGGAACGAATGATATTCTTTGGAACACGAAACTTGACAAAGGACTTACAGGGCATGCAAGTGGTATTCAAAAGGTGTCGATGTTTGCGCCTATAATCAGAAGTCTTCCTGTTCTTCTTAAAAATAATGACTCATTGAAGGTTGAACTGGTACGGATTAAAAATTAGCACATGCCACGCCCGTGCGAGCGGAATATATTCCTGTTACATACCACCAGTGCTCCTTTTTTGCCTCCTGTACTCCTACTGAATTTTAGCGATCGAGGTCCGATTTGAAATTTTTGTGCCACTCCCGCCCCCTGTAGACGGAGTCTAGTCCTGCTCCTACCGAATTTTAGCGATCGATTTGGAATTTTTTCAGCAAGCTCCGCTCCTTGTAGGCGAGCCCGGTTCTGCCACCCATTATAAGGGTTCCCATCCTGCCTCCTGTACTCCTACCGAGTTTGAACGCTCTAGGCCCACGTGAACAGGAGTTATGAATTTACGACCTAAAATTTCTATGGCGCAGACCCCGCCCCCGGTGGGCGGAGTCCGGTCCTGCTACTTGCCATAAGTAATCCTATTCTGCCTTCTCTGTACTCATGCTAAATTGGAACGCTCTAGGTTCACAGGAACCGGAGTTATGAGGTTCCATTCGAACATTTATTTCTTCCGCCTTTTCCACGCCATAAAAAGACATTCAGTGTCACAAACCGGAAGAAATAGTAGATGTGAGGTGTGATGGAGTAGTATAACGGTTAGGCAATGACCGTGCCAAATTTCTGCTACAATTCATTGGCCGCCTTTGAATCGTACAACACATTGATTATGGGCGTTAGTGGGGTAGTGTATATTGCTGAACTCATCGAGTGGGTGCTAGAGTAGCTCCACGTTGACCAATCCGGATGATGGGCAACGTGCGACCGTTGGCAGAGCTAAGGCAAGAGCTGGCGCTCGACCGACGACAGACCTGGGGAGGACGGCGTCGAAGACGACCGATAAAATCCAGGGCTCATGACTAAAACCGCATTCAATAATTTTTATTCAAGCATTCAGCGTGACTGTTCTGCAATGCCCTTTACTCCTCATCAATTTACGGCTTCGATATCAAGGAAATCCTGATACTCGACAATCTACGAAGCAATCAAACTACCCTGTTGCTATACTAAGGAAAAGAGCATTAGGAGCTGCCTCCGCTCTCAAACCTTGGTCGATTGGTCGATTGTCCTCCAGCCCACTATTCGACATCCGTCGCTCAACGCCCTACAGCACGATCATCTCGCGCTGAGCCTGAACGCAATCAGTGATCTTCCACTCGATCTTGTTGCAATCCAGCGCACTTTAGTGAACGCTTCTCATCCAGAAGACACAGAACGACTAACCCTTCCCGTTCGGAGCACTGCTGACGAGCTCAGATGGCGGCCGTCAATGACAGACACTAAAGCGTCGGCTCTTCTTTTCCTACGGGTTAATTCGAGCAGCGACATTTCAGTGTTTTAGCTAAATATTCAAGCAACCGGTGCTCGGATGATGTGGTGTGAGTGTTAACAATTGTGCGTCATTGTGTCTTGACCAACAACTGTACAGCCTGCCATCCCATTAGTCATCGATTTGCTCGAGCCAATAATGTCTATTCGCTCTCCAGCCAACCACTGCAGCTCAGTGAGCTGCTCGTTGAAGGGGTTTGAAGCGAGCCATTAAATTCATTTGGAGTTTCTGTATAAGAAATTACCTGCGACACAGTCTTCGATGGGCCACTAAGTAACCGCCCTAACCCATATGTCATCACGCAACGACGTGGTTTAATCGGGCGACCTCATCATCGATGGATAAAGTAATATCTCCGATTTTGTACACTGACGACGACCGGAACTGTAGGTCCAATAAAACTCCAGGGGTGAACTTCAAACGGCACGTGTGGAGTGGTGGCCACTTCTCATGTTTTTAAATGCTCTCCGTACCATTCGCTTTCTTCTGCTCAACTGTGGAGCCAGATCGTTCATCATCTTAACTTCCCTTCCTGATTCTGCGTAGCTGGAGCACTCAAAGAAGTTCGTTCCAATAACCAGGAAAGGATACCAAGTCGCAGTGGCCATTCAAGATAAGATGTATACCGACATAGGTAGTGTCGAACGCTGATCTCAAATCTGAAATCCAAATCTGCGAAACGGTTCTGGGAACAAAGTTACAGGTCCCCTCTCCCCAGATGTCTTGTAACTTTTTCGCTTTCAT